CGGCGCCCGGGATCTGAAGCGCGCACGTGCCGCGCCGCTGCAAGCTGCACGGCAGCCGCGGCCCGGAGTACAAGCCGAGCGCCTGCCCCCGCCGGAGAGGGCGCCCGCGCCCAGAGCCCGAGCCCGAAATCGCTTGGTGCGACGAAGGACCACGCGTTGAGCGGGCCGTGCGCGGCAGCCGTGAGCAGCGCCGCGGTGTCACGCGCCATCTGCCGTTCGATCGCCTCGGGCGGCACCAGCGTTGGAGGCGCGGATGGCGGCGGAGGAGACCACTCGAAGTCGCACCCGCCATCGGCGCGCGCGCACCACCACCTCCTGCCCATCCACACCGCTGGCCTGCCACACTCGCACAACGGCTGCATGCCCGCGGTGCCGTCGTCGGTGCGACCGCACGCCCACAGCTCGAAGCTGCAGCCGCCGTCCTCGTCGGCACACCACCAGCGCCGCTTGCGCAGCACGGCCAGCGCACCGCAAAGGCAAGTGGGGGGTGGCACACCGCCGCCCGGCGCCCCCTCCGCCGAGGCAAGCTGCACAAACCGCGGCAGCTCCGCCGCGGTCAAAGCGCCCTGCAAACTCGGCGCCGCGCGGGGCCGCCCAGGGGAAGGCGCGGAGAGGTAGGCCGGCAGCCGGGAGGAAGAAAAAGAAACGCCGGCCCGAGGTCCTGCTGCCGACTCGGAGGCGCCGCCGCTGGACGAGGACGCGGCGCCGGCATTGAAGGCGCGGATCAGGCTCTCGTCGAAGATGTTGTCCTCGCACTCCCAGCTGTCGTGCTCGGGCGGGTAGTCCTCCCAGCGCACCAAGTACTGGGCCTCTCCGTAGACGTGCCGCCGCGCGAGCAGCGCCTCGACCCGAAACACGTCGCCGCCCAGCCCTGCGACCGGCCCGGGCTGGCGGGCGGAGGCGGAGGCGGAGGCGGAGGCGGAGGCGGAGGCGGAGGCGGAGGCGGGGGCGGGCGGCGCCCGAGCTCCGCCTTGGTCGAGTCCGAAGTGTCGAGCCACCTCGACGCGCGAGCGGAAGCGCTTCCCGGCAGGCGAGAAGAAATAGGTGTAGCAACTGCCGGCGGTGCTGCACCTCTGTCCGGTGCAGTACCTCTGCCGGCGGTGTCGCACCTCTGTCCGCGTGTACCAGCCGTCGACGAGGCCCTCCCAGCCGCCGCAAGAGACCTGCAGAGGGGATGGGGAGGTGCATTCCAGCCGACTGACGAAGAGAGCGCGCCAGGGGGGAGATTAGGCGAGGGGGGTGGGGAGGAGGCGAGGGAACCAAGTACTCGGAGAGGCCGCCAACAGAGCGGCTTCCTCCTTCTGTTGTCTGCTCGTCCGGCTGGCATTGCGCGTCAGGCCCACCCGAGGGACGCGCGGGAGCGGGGCAGTAGAGCCGCGGCCTCTTCACCGCTGCAGCGGCCGGTGCGCCCACGCCCGGCCGCGTGCCTAGCTGCGGCGGCGGGGCTGCCTGCGGCGGGGGGGGCGCCAGCGGCCGCTTGTGCCACGCTTCGAGCCTCGCCTTCGAGGCGAGCTTCGAGCGCGGGCCCTGCCCGCGCTTGCCCGTCATGATCTGCCAGTGCTGCTCCACGCCCGCCTTGCTCCGTCCGGTACCCATTCGCTCCGCCACCGTCGCCCACGACTTTTCTCCGAGCTCGCTCACAAGCTCCTTGAGCGACGACTCTTCGGCAGAAGACCATCTTCCCACCGTGAAACCCTCGCAGATGGCCGGGCCGGCCTCAAAGCGCTCGACCGAGCGCGCGCCGCGGTTGGAGGAGCGAGTTTGCTGCTCGGCTGCCGCCGGCTCAGCTCCCGCCGGCTCAGCGCCCGCCGCCACCGCCCCTGCTGTCGCCGCCGCCGCCGCGGTCGCCGCCGCCGCCGCCTCTTCGACCGCCCGCGCGTACGCCACCGCCGCCTCCACCGCCGTGCCGAAGGTGCCGAGGGAGACCGTGGTTCCGTAAGCTTTAATCTCCGCCCCAAAGCGGCCAGAAGCCCGCTTGAGCACGCCCTTGTAGCCAGTGCCGGCGGCGCTGGACAAGTGCAAGCGCAAGCCCTCCGCCTCTGCCACCGGAGCCTCCTCCTCCTCCGCCCGCGGCGCATGCGACGAGGCAACGACGGCGGCAGCGGCCGACCCCGCCGCCTCCTCGATCCCCGCCTGCGCCAGGCTCCGCCGGCCATGCCGGGCGGGGTCGGCCGAGTGAGCTGCCGCCGACCTCGCCTCCGCCTCCGCCCGCCCTGCCCTCGCCTGCTCGCCGCCGACCGCCCGGGCGTAGGCCACCGCCCCTTCCACTGCGGTGCCGAAGTTGCCAACGGTTTGCTGCTTCGAGTCCAGAGTGAGGATGACCCGAAAGCGCCCGTCCCGGCGGTAGACGCCCACGTAGCCGGTGCTGCTGCTGCTCGAGAGGTGCAAACGCAAGCCCTCCGCCTCTGTCGCCACTGTCGGAGGCGGAGGCTGGTACTCGCCGACCGCCCGCGCGTACGCCACCGCCGCCTCCACCGCCGTGGCGAAGCAGCCGAGGGCGACCTGCCGCCCGTTCGCCATGTGCCGCACCTCGAATCGGCCAGAGGACTGCTCGCGCACTCCTCTGTAGCCGGTGCTGCCGCTGCTCGAGAGGTGCAGCTTCAGCCCCTCCGCCTCCGCCACGACCGCCTCCGCCTCGAGCGGCGTGGCGACGGGTGCAGGCGCAAGCCCCACGTTGCTGCCGCCGCTAGCCTCGCCCTGCTCATGGCCAGCGGTCACTCGACCTTCTCCCGCGCCTCCGCCCGCCCCGACACCGCGGCCTTGTCCGCGGTGCTGCGCCCGCGCGTCTCCGCCGCCGAACTTAGCTTCGAAGAACGTCGACGGTCTCCTCTCGCGCCGGCCGTCGCCCCCCTCCTGCGCCGCCGCCGCCGCTGTCGCCGCCACCGCCCCTGTCGCCGCCGCCGCCGCCGCTGTCGCCTTCGCCGCCGCCTCTTCGACCGCCCGCGCGTACGCCACCGCCGCCTCCACCGCCGTGCCGAAGGAGCCGAGGAATTCCTCCCCTCCACCCACCTTGTGCCGCGCCTGGAAGCGGGCGTGGTCTTTGTACACGCCTTTGTAGCCGGTGGCGGCGGCGCTGGACAAGTGCAAGCGCAAGCCCTCCGCCTCTGCCACCGGAGCCTCCTCCTCCTCCGCCCGCGGCGCATGTGACGAGGCAGCGACGGAGGCTGCGCCGGCGCCGCCGCTCGCGCCGCCTGTCGTCGCCGCCGCCGCCGCCGCCAGCTTGGCGCCGATGCGCTGCGCGATCTCCGCCTTGGAGCCGTGTGATTGGACTCCAACCTCTGGAGCATCGCACAGCCCCTTGAGCTGCTCCCCGCTCAGGCCGCCGCTGGCGCGCAGCCGCTTCGCCAGCGCCTCCGAGCTGTCCCACCCCACACTCAGGCCCTTCTGATCGCAGAGCGGCTTGAGGCGGCGAGGCGGCAGCAGCTCCAGCCAGGAGAGGTCGACGCACGACGTCCAGGGCGCCGGGCCGGCCTCGAAGCGCACGACCGGGCGCGCGCCGCGGTCGGAGGAGCGAGTTTGCTGCTCAGCTCCCGTCGGCTCGGCTCCCGCCGGCTCAGCGCCCGCCGCCACCGCCCCTGCTGTCGCCGCCGCCGCCGCTGTCGCCGCCGCCGCCGCCTCTTCGACCGCCCGCGCGTACGCCACCGCCGCCTCCACCGCCGTGTCGAAGTAGCCGAGGCAGAACTTGTATCCGTCGGCGTGGCGCTCCGCCCCAAAGCGGCCAGAAGCAATCTTGTGCACGCCCTTGTAGCCGGTGGCGGCGGCGCTGGACAAGTGCAAGCGCAAGCCCTCCGCCTCGGCCAACATGCCCCGCGGTGGCGAACTCTTTCTTTTCTACCCGGTGTGCCGGTGATAGTACTAGCACGCGCCAGTTCGCACCTGTGTCGAGCCTGTCTGCTGTGAGAGAGAGTTCTTTTGCTTAAATTCTACCCGGGACTAGTTTAACTCGGCTTCTCCACATGAACCAAAGAGAGATGGCGCAGCCGGAGGGCTGGCGCCGTCAGAGAGGATGGAGCGGCCACAGAGGTGGCGCGGCATCAGGTCCCATGAGCAGGGAGAGAGCGCAGCGAGAGCGCCGCGCATGAGGAGCAAGGGCCAAGCGCGCTCGCGAAAGTAGGCGGCGAAAGCGCGCACCAGCTGAAGTGCAAGTTTGGTGTTCACAGCAGCGGAGGCTGAGTGAAGACCGCATGCGATGTGCGCGAGGGCACACGAGAGGGACTCAGGAGAGGTATCCGTGAGTACCCTACGATAAACTAGTGGCCTACCACGAGTTGGGGCCCCAGGCCACGCCTTTGTAGCCGGTGGCGGCGGCGCTGGACAAGTGCAAGCGCAAGCAAGCCCTCCGCCTCTGCCAACATGATTCTTCTTCACACTCTGTAGGACTGTTTTCCAGAAAAAAAGCCGAATTTGCCGCCCAGTCCACCCACCGTCGCACTCAACCTTTACCGCCTTGCTCGATGCCGCCGCGCAAGAAGGCCGGCGCCTCGTCGCAGTTTGATGCCTCGGAGGTCATGCAGCCCGTCCAGGCTCTGCGAGGCCACATGGATGCCGCCGGCTCGTCACGCAAGCGCACGCTCGAGGAAGGAGGTCGGCGTGTCGGGCGTGTCGAAAGAGGTGCAGCACATGGGTGGAAGACTGTCTCTCTCTTCTTTCCGGAAAATTCTCTTCTTTGGTGTACCTGTGTTAGTGCCAGTGCGCGCCAGTGTTGTGCGAGCCACATGAGGGAAATTTTCTTCTTTTCTCGTGCCAGTCCGCGCCAGTCCGCGCCCTTGTCGTGCCAGTGTAAAGAAAGAAAGAAAACAGACAACCCAAGGGAGGGATGGGAGGTCGTGCCGAAATAAAGAAAGAAAGAAAACAGACAAGCCAAGGGAGGGATGGGAGGACGGCACGCCGCCACCACACAGGGATTTTAAATGCAGAAGAAGAAAGAAAACAGACACGCCAAACGAGGGATGGGACGAGGACAGGGTCCACACCTGCACGAGCAGGATTTTGGAAGAACGATCAGGGGGACAGGTGGGGCTCTCCTGCTCCTGACAAGGGACACGACAGGCTCGCAGCGCGGTGCGCGGTGGACTCCCACATCCACTGGCGGTCTCATCTCAGTCTAGCGACCTGCCTCCAGCTTGTCGCTGGCAGTCTCTCCTACCACAGGCACACTGACACAGGGGTGGCAGGGGCGGCGGCACGAGTCTCCCACATACTATGCGGGCCTCACTAGAGGTGCGGCCTGTGCGTGTCCTCGCCCTTGAGTCACCCAAAAGCGGAGGTACATCAGGAGCCGCAGCCGGCCTGCTCTATCAGCCCCGCAGCCGCGGTGGCGCGACCGGACCGCGGTCGCTCCAGGCACCTTTTGGCCCCGGTTCGAATCGCGGTTGGCGCGCGCCCTCGCGGAGCGACGCGTGGCGCGCGACGCGCGCGCGTGCGCGTGCGCGCCCAGCCGAGCCCTAGGCCGTATGCCGTCTGCCGTCTGCCGTCTGCCGTCGGCCGCCGCCGCCGCCGTAGCGGCGGCGAGCGCTCGCCTTTTGCGCGACGCGCAGACCGCAGTGTGGACGCGCGCCGCCCAGCGCCGGACGTGCCGGAGCCGGTCCGGCGCGCGCGCGGGCGGCCAGCGCCTGTAAACAGACAGCTGCCGCCCACACGTTCAAAGGCGCTTGAGCAAATTTGTGGGATTTTCAATGCCAGTGAGTGTCAGAAGTAATAGAATTCTTTTCTCGCACGACATCTTTTCTCGGCCTCGTCTCTTCGTCCGGGAGCCTGGCAGTCGATCGGCCGCCGGTCCAGGCATAGATGCTGCTTGAAGTCCGCCTGCCCGCCGAGGCTGGCGTGGCTCCGCCCGCACCCTTCCTGTGCGAGGCGGCCAGCTCCGTCGCCGTCGAGGTCGCGCTGCGGGACGCCGTTGCGCTGAGCAACCTGCGCCGCCGGATCTCTCGTGCGCTCGCGAGCCCGCAGCCGCACCGCCACGCCTCCACGAACGTGGAAGTGGCGGCGGGCCCGTCCCTCGAAAGCGGGGACTTCTCAACGGCGCGGGAGCTCCTCTCGCCCAGCAACGTTCGGCGCAAGGCCATCTCGACCCGCGCAGCGCTGCTGCCTCTGCTGCGCTCGCTGGGCGGGGACGCCGACGCGGCGGCGCCGGGCGAGGTGAGCGAGGAGGGCGCGAGCCTTCTCTTCGCCGGCAAGACGCTCGAGGCCGACCGCCCCCTCTCTTCGTACTTTGGAGCCAACGACAAGTCAAAGGCGGCCGTGGGCCTCTGCCACATGATCCTGAGATGGCCCGATATGGTCCGAGATGACCCTCGATGACCACGGGACTGCCCGAGGTGGTAGGCGGTCGTCACGCTCTGCGCGCCGCCTCTCTCCCCATCCCTCCGCCCAACGGACCTGGCGGCAGCCGGCGGCGGCGGCGGCGATGGTGGCAGCAGCG